GGCACACATCCACCTGCACCTGCCTGCAGCAGCTCCAGACCATCCTCTGAAAAAAAATCTGCTTTAAAAGGGGTCCTAATGACCCACTTCTTCTGGACTGCAGGTACTTAGGATAGTGGTTCTCCAATTTTGGCTCCATCAGAATTCCAGGGAGTCTTATTCAAACATAGACTTCTGGCCCTACCCTTCCAGATTCAGTCTGAGTAAGTCTGGGGCAGGGCCCGGGAATTCGCATTTTTCACAAGTTACCAGGCGATGCTGCTGCTGCTGCTCTGGGAACACTCAGAGAATCATTGTCTTAGGCATTAGTTACGCTTCAAAAGCAAGACCTTTGGATTTCCACAGGCATAGGGAAATACAGGTCCTTTGCCTCATTTTCACCTTGTGGGGAGAAAGGCTTAGTCAGTTAATTTCTGTTATATTCCTAGAAAAGTAAACTAAGAATTCACAGTAATGGCCGGGCACAGTGGCTCATGCTTGTAATCCCAGCACTTTGGGAGGCCAAGGCGGGTGGATCACTTGAGGTCAGGAGTTCAAGACCAGCCTGGCCAACATGGCAAAACCCTGCTTCTACTAAAAATACAAAATTAGCCGGGTGTGGTGGCAGGCACCTGTTACCCCAGCTACTCGGGAGGCTGAGGCTTGAACCTGGGAGGCAGAGGTTGCAGTGAGCTGAGATTGCACCACCGCACTCCAGCCTGGCGACAGAATGAGACTGTCAAAAAACAAAACAAAACAAAACAAAACAAAACGAAAAATACCCCAAACCCCCCAAAACTTGGGATAGCTATAATAGGGTTTAAAGATTTTAAAATTCTAGATTTTTGGAAAACATTTGGCTACTGGTCTGCTAGAAGTCTAACTGCTCACTACTGACTGTGAGGCTGAGTGGTAGACAGTCTGTTTGGCCCTGAGCATAATAAGCATTTTCTACTAAGGCTGGTTTTTCACTTGAACGAAGTACTGTGAAAACCAGGGATAGACTGTGGCCAGACATCCTATAGAAAGGTGGTTATTTCAAACCTTTGAGTCAGCTCTTTGAAATGCCACGAGGTGGCCATTGGTGGAGCAGATAGTTCTGCTTGAAAACTGCACCAAAAGGCCACATTCCCTATACATTTGTAGGCACTGAGGACACATTCAGAAGCTGGAAGATGAACCAAGTAGGGAGTTGGCATTTTGCTCATGATGTAAAGCTCTGTTCCCATTGCAGGCAGAGGCTTGGGGACACTATGCATTTAGGAAAATCTCTCTCTTCATTTGCAAACAGCCTAAATTGTCCCTTAGAAATAATATATTATCAAGACATGAGTGTGTATGCATGTGTGTTTGTACTAATAATTTAACAGGTAGAATTTCCTTTTTTTGCAAGTGACACAAACCACTCTGCCCTGTTGACACTGGATCAAGAAAGAAAACAGAGGTTATATTTATTAATCCATTGATACAGTTTGGCTGTGTCCCCAGCCAAATCTTCATCTTGCATTGTAGCTCCCATAATTGCCTCGTGTGGGAGGGACTCAGTGGTAGATAACTGAATCAAGGGGGATGGTTTCCCCATACTGTTTTGTGGTAGTGAATAAGTCTCATGAGATCTCCTGGTTTTATAAGGGGAAACCTTTTTCGCTTGACTCTCATTCTCTTCTCTTGCTTGCCGCCATGTGAGACGCGTCTTTTGCCTTCTGCCATGATTGTGAGGCCTTCCCAGCCACGTGGAACTGTGAGTCCATTTAAACCTCTTTCTTTTGTAAATTGTGCAGTCTTGACTATGTCTTTATCAGCAGCATGAAAACCGAGTAATACATCTATGTTATGTTATTAATTCAGAAGTATTCTGGGTTCCAATTTGGCTTGCTCCAGAGCTCAAATAAAGTCAGCAGCATGAAGTTTCTCTCTTTTCATTTCTTGGCCCTGCCTTTCCCAGTGGAAGTCCCAAGTAGTCCTCTGTAATAGTCAATGCCCAGCTCTTAAATAACCTCTGAGGCCGGGAGCACCTGAACTACAAGCTCCCGCAGAGAGTCTGGGCGGAGAGGAAGCAGAGGTGAACTCCACAGTAAAAGTGAGAGCTATTGCTGGAAGAAAACTGAACAGAGAAATTCAAATAAAGAATAGCTACTATAAATGGTTAACCATGGGTGGATGATCAGAAAGAATGAGGAGATGGGAAGAGTTCAGAGAGAACTAGATTTGAAGAGTCCTAAATACCCTCAACTCTGAAGCTTTTGGGGCATCTATGATGCTTAAGCAACTATGATGCATTTTTTTTTTTCCTTAATTGAGATGGAGTTTAGCTCTTGTTGCCCAGGCTGGAGTGCAATTGTGCGATCTTGGCTCACAGCAACCTCTGCCTCCTGGGTTCAAGCAATTCTCCTGCCTCAGCCTTCTGAGTAGCTGGGATTACAAGCATGTGCCACCATACCGGGATAATTTTTTTGTATTTTATTAGAGACGGGGTTTCTCCATTTTTGTCAGGCTGGTCTCGGACTCCCTACCTCAGGTGATCCGCCCACCTCAGCCTCCCAAAGTGCTGGGATTACAGGCATGAGCCACTGCGCCCAGCGCAAGTATGATGCTTTTTAACCCTCCATTTTTTCCAGTATTACTGGGGGACTGAAATTTTCAGCCTTTGGCAAACGTGAGTCATTTTGTCTTAAGATTTCATTGTTGGTTGTAAGGAACAGGAGAGGATACAAAGGTCACGTTTCAGGGCATTACCTTTATAAAGTTAGGATTGGCCAAGCGAATTTCCTCCTGCATTTCCTATCTTATGTAGTAAGATAATGTCTCTTGTTTCCTTAATACCATTTTCTTAAGGAATATCAATGTGTATTATAATTCCTTGATTGCAGCTCCAGTCATGAGATCCTGCTGCTTACTTAAAGTTGTGACCTTAGTTAAGTCATTGAAACTTTCTGGACCCCAGATTGCTTTTATGTAAAATGGAGGAGTTAGTTAAATAATCTGAAAGTCTCCTTTTCAATACATGAATGCAGCAAAAATCCCAGCCCCAGCCTAAATTATGTCCATCCTGGGGATTCAAGTATGACTCACTGTATCTGGGAAACTAGGAATACAAGTCTTGGAAAATCCTAAGGGAAAAAGCAGTCCGATAGAATGAGCCAGAATCATGATCTCTGTCACCTGAATTTTCTCTCAGTCCCCATCCCCCAGCAACTCCTCTGAAATCCTTTGTCAATGGTGAGAGCTGTAAGTAAAACTCAAAAGACATGTCCCACTAAATTGCTGTAAACACGCCTAAATTCAGAAGAGGAAGAGAGACTTTCTTTCCTCTGTCCCATCACAACATACCAGGCAGTATCGGCATATCGAAGGCTCTGGAATATCCTCCCCAATTAAATATGCAATGGAACAAACAAAAATCCCCCTCATTGGAAACTCACCAGCCACCTCTGCCAACCAACTTTTCAAAAATCTTAAGATCTAAACTTCCGGTTGAAGATAGTGAATTAAAAATATATATTTAACTCTGCCCCTTCCCAAAACACCCCTAGCCTGAGAGAAGGGAATTTTCTAAAGGGTCACAAGGTTGGGAAAGGAGATGGTAGCAATTGAACTTTGCATGTGGAAAAGTTAAAGAATGACTGAAGATTGATTCTGAAGACCAAAGAATGCTGAACCCTCAGCTCCTGCTGAGAACGACAACCACATTTGCACCAAAGACGGCCCCACAATGACTCTGATAACGATAGCACCGCATACCTCTGGGAGTGGGGGTGAAGGACAGACTGAAATAAGAATTGGTTAAAAGTGGTTAAGACACAAAAGCAGATTCTCTCTCTCATCACATGCAGCTAAGTAACTGTCTTTTTCCTATACTGGCAGAACACTGCAGGTTTATTCTCTGCATGGAGTAAAAGTTGAAGGGACATCAAATCAGTTGAGACCTGGGGGACAGGAGGCAATGGCTTACAACTATAATCATAGCACTGTGGGAGGCTGAGGTCAAGACCAGCCTGGGTAACATAGTGAACACCCCACCTCTACAAAAAATACAAAAATTAACCAGGCATGGTAGTACATGCCTGTGGTCCCAGCTACTCAGGAGGCTGTGAGGTGGGAGGATCACCTGAGCCTGGGAGGTCGAGGCTGCAGAGAGCCATAATCGTGTCACTGCATCCAGCCTAGGCAACAGAGTGAGACTTCTCGGGGGGGGGAAAAAAAAAAAAAAAAGTCAGCTGAGACGTGGGGAAGCCTTCTCAATGTTAAAAACCCACAGATCTCTTCACGCCTTCGGCTTTAAGGCCCAGACTTGCCACCCAAATAGAAGAACAGAATCTAACCGGGCCAAAAGAAAAGACTTACAGATACAGCTGTTGCTCAGGCCGACCCTCCCACAGTGAAGCCCATGGTGACAGGCTGCTCCAACAGCCACAGACCCTCCCATCAGCTTTGTAATAGCCCAACTTAAATAGGAGCAGAAATCCTAGGCTTGCCAGACAACTGAGCCCAGCCCACTCAATATAATACATATATTCATTTGTAAAAGTTTGTTTTCTCTTCCCCTCAGCAAAGTATAAATCCATGAAAGTGGGCCAGGAGACATCAATGTATATTTGGGCAACACAGAGCTGCTTAATCATAGGTATTTCACACACAGAGATGAATGAGTGATAATGGCTGAAATCTGCAAGAAACCATGTGGCAGAAGCTGATTGGTGAAAATAAGAAAATAATTTAGGTGTACTTGGGGTCCTCCCCGAAATATTCAGAAGAGAGAGTACTTTACAAGTTGCATCAGAGGTCCTGTGTGAGCAGGTGGGGGACAAGGACATAAATTTAGCAATATTGATGTTAATGAGAGTCATTTATATATTATAGATAGCCTAATGAGTCTCGGTGACATTTGGGTGACTTAAATAGCACTGTTGATTTATTGAATGTTTTCTACATGTTAGGTTCTTGGTAAAGCACTTTACATACAATCTCTTAATTGAACCTTACAACAGGCCTATTAACATATTATCCCCATTACAGATGAGGAAATTGGGGTTCAGAAAGGTTAAGTAATTTTTCTTTTTCTTTTTTTTTTTTGAGACGGAGTCTCGCTCTGTCGCCCAGGCTGGAGTGCAGTGGCCGGATCTCAGCTCACTGCAAGCTCCGCCTCCCGGGTTCACGCCATTCTCCTGCCTCAGCCTCCCGAGTAGTTGGGACTACAGGCGCCCGCCACCGCGCCCGGCTAGTGTTTTGTATTTTTTAGTAGAGACGGGGTTTCACCGTGTTAGCCAGGATGGTCTCGATCTCCTGACCTCGTGATCCGCCCGTCTCGGCCTCCCAAAGTGCTGGGATTACAGGCTTGAGCCACCGCGCCCGGCCGGTTAAGTAATTTTTCTAAGTTAATTCACCAGTCAGTGAAAAGGTTGGAATTGAAATACCCTCCATCTGACTCAAAAACCCATTCTGCCTTTCTCACTCCACGCTGTCACAAAATGGGTCAGTTTTCACTTAACATAATGTGATCCTGCTCCCATAAATCAAAGAGTCTCTGATAACGTGATTTTTGTTTAACATTCTCATATAAAATAAATTATTTAACTAGATTTCTAATATTGTGCAGCTAATGATTCCATTTTTTCAAGTATTACAAATAACATTGCACAGAACATCCCAACACATAAAAGTTTTTGCATGCTTCCCTAATTATTTCCTTAGGATAAAATCCGGAAAGTGTTCCTACTTCAAAGACCAGAAACATGTTGAAGGCTTTGATAATGCCCCAGGCTAAGTTTGTACACATGTAGGCTCCCAACAGCCGCCCCCAAAATGCTCATTTCATCAGAGTCTTGCCAGCACGAGTAATTATAATCCTTTTCAGCCACTGACAGTCTGATATGTAAAAAATGCTGTCACTCTTTCATTTGCATTCCATTGACTGAAAATGAGCTTGAAGGTATTAACTGAAATTAACTGAAAATTAACTTGAAGTTATTGAATTTTTCTACTTTTTGGCACAGATTTTCCCCACTTGTTCTTTGAGTTGTTGATCTTACCCTTGCTAATTTGTGTTAACTCTTCATATAATAAGAATATCTTTTGCTTGGAAATGTTATCTCCCCATTTGCCACTTGTCTTTAAAGTCCCTTTAACCCCGCAGGAATCTCTGCTTTACATATCTGTATTCCTACAGATGGTGAAATTGATTCTTGTTTTGTCTGGATGGTAATGACAGTGTTGAGAATGAAAAGGGACATTTTGTCAGTGAAAAGGCAGCATGAGCTTCTGGAATCAGGAGCCGGGATATGGATCAAGGAGAGACATCAAAGGGTCATAGGTTCCTGGGTTCAAGACAGAAAAGAGATCAGAAGGTGTGTAACTGAAGAAGATGGACAGGGAAATAGAGAAATAAATCAAGGATATATTCAAATAGCCATGAATAACCTTGTAAAAAGCTTTATATCTACGTGGCAAGAAAATGTTGGCAATGAATTCAAACATAGGATCCCAAGAAAAAAACATAGGTATAACAGTTTTCTTTCTTTCTCTTTCCCTCCCT